GGCGTGGTGGCTCATGCCTGTGATCCTAGCACTCCGGGGGGCTGAGGCAGGAGGATTGCTTGAGACCAGGAGTTTGAGACCAGCCTGAGCAACAGCGAGACCCCATCTCTATAAAACAAACATAGAGAAATTAGTTGGGGATGGTGGCTCATGTGCCTGTAGTCCCAGCTACTCAGGAGACTGAGGGAGGAGAATCGCTTGAACCCAGGAATTTGAGGTTGCAGTGAGCTAGGATGACACTACCATACTCTAGCCTGGGCAACAGTGAGGCTCTCACAAAAAAAAAAAAAAAAAAAAAAATTAAAAAGTTAACTTTAATGTATAAAAAAAATTTTTTAAATATCATTTAGGGCGGGTGCAGTGACTCACGCCTGCAATCCTAGCACTCTGGGAGGCTGAGGCGGGCGGATTGCTCAAGGTCAGGAGTTCGAAATCAGCCTGAGCGAGACCCCATCTCTATTAAAAATAGAAAGAAATTAATTGGCCAACTAATATATATAGAAAAAATTAGCCAGGCATGGTGGCACATGCCTGTAGTCCCAGCTACTGGGGAGGCTGAGGAAGAAGGATTGCTTGAGTCCAGGAGTTTGAGGTTGCTGTGAGCTAGGCTGATGCCACGGCACTCAGTCTAGCCTGGGCAACAAAGCAAGACTCTGTCTCAAAAAAAAAAAAAAAATATATATATATATATCTCATTTAGTAGGCCAGGGGAATACCAGAATAGAATGCAGAATGGGACAAAACAATCAAAATTATTACAAATTTATGAAACCACCTTACTGAAGGGATAGGGGAAAAGGTGCTAAGTAACTTTGGAAATGAGTCTGTAAAACTAATGGCAAAAAAAGAACAAAAAAAATCTACATAATGACTGTGCTCTAGTTGATATAGTTGTTTCCCATGGGGGAATGTGTTAACAATTCTGAAACCACTTTACATGTATACTGGAATGAAACAATTCAAGTAAGTGGATAGCAGATGGTGGGAGTCAGGTTTCTCAGTTGGAGTGGGAGTTAGATAAGCAAGGGGAAGAATGAAGGTTAGAATGATCTATGTGGTAATGGATTGCATATCAGCATGAACTCACATTTCACTTAACAGAAATACAGATGTTACATGCAGAAATATTTACACTTATATAAATGCACATGTCAGTACATACACACATAGATTTCTTTGCTGTCTGCTAGAAGGGTCTAGAGGCAATGAAACTCCAATGAAACTGTACTCTTTGGAAAGAATTCACTATGTGCAGCTGACTTATGGAGTTAGGAGCGAAGAGTACAGTATGGAAAAGGGGAAAAAAGAGTAACTTTACAGTGGAGAAACCTGAGAATCTACTTCAGCCAGATGATCAAGATTAACATTAACTGTGATAATAAAAGTATCCTTGATATGAGGTGAATAGCACTTTACCTCAGTGGTCTTCCTCCTGAAACACACACAATCCTAATCTAATAATGGGAAAAACACGTGACAAATCCTGGTAGAGAAACATTCTACAAAATACCTGACCAGTACTCCTGAAAACTGTCAAGGTCATCAAAAACAAGAAAAGTCTAAGAAACTGTCACAGCCAAGAAGAGGTAAGACATGATGACTAAGGCATCCTGGATGGAATCCTGGAACACAAAAGGACATTAGATAAAACCCAAGGAAATCTGAATAAAGTATGGACCTCAGTTAATAATAATGTATTAATACTGGTACATTGACTGTATCAAAAGTCTTATGGTAACATATTAATAATAGGGGAAGCTGAGCATGGGGCATGTAGGAACTCTGTACTATCTACCCCCCAATTTTTCTATAAATCTGAAACAGTTCTAAAAAATAAAATTTAGAAAATACCTTAGGAAAAAAAGGGTAGAAGGACGATTGAAAAGAGACTAGAGAGACACACTAATCAATGTAATTTATAAACCTTGAGAGAGCAGCTATGAAAGCTATTTGGGGGACACATGGAGATATTTAAATATGAAATAATATTGCATGGCTGATTCTTTTTTACTTCAGAGAATGAAATTGTGGTTAAATAGGAGAATGTCCTCACTCTTGTAGGAGGCATGATGACATATTTAGGGATGTGATGATGATGTCATGAAGTGCAATGATGAAGTCTGCAACTTACCTCAAATGATTCAGGAGGGCAAAAAGGCACATTTGGAGACAGCAAAAGCAACAATGGCAAAATGTTGGGAGTGATGAACCTAACAGAAAGGAATACTGGTGTTCATCATACCATTCTTTCACATGGATTGAACATCAGTATGAATTCACATTTCGCTTAATAGAAATACAGATGTTACATAAATATTTACACTTATATATATGCACAAGTTCGTATGTACACATATATTTCTTTGCTCTGTCTGCTAAAAGGGTCTAGAGGCAATGAAATTTGAAATTTTTCAAAATAAAATTTCAGAGAAAATACCAATATGATTTTAGATTTGGACAAAAATGATACTAAAGTGCATCTGGAAAAATAAACATGCAAGAAAATAAAATCCTGAAAAAGAATGAGGTATGGACTAACAATGCCAAATATGAAAATGTATAACAAAATAATTAAAATGCTGGTATTTTTTACAATAGCCTACAGAGCCCAGAAACAGATCTGAATATGTATGTGGAAATTCAATCTACACGTGAGGATAGTTTTTCCAATTGGTATGGAAAAATGGTCAATAAATGGGATAAATAGATGGCTATTTGAGGGAGAAAGATGTTGAATCCTTACCTCATTCCTACAACCTAAACAAACTCCAAATGAATAAAAGATTTAAAGGTTAAAGAAAACCTTAAAAGCACTGGAAAACTACATTAAATTTATTCTTAAACGTAAAGGCCTTTCTAAGAAGGGCAAAATCCCAGAAGACATAAAGACTGATAAGTTTAACTACATAAATCAATCTCAGGAAAATATTCAAAGTATGACAATGGACCAATTTTCTTAGCTTACAAAAAGCGCACACAAATCAATAAAAACCAAATCATCTAATAGAAAACAGAACATGACCACACAGTTTACAAAAAATATCAGTAACCAATAAACATGAAAATGTGTTCCATCTCCTTCATTAAAATGCATTAGATCTTCATTAAATCACAAGATATCATTTCTTCACTTTCAGATGATCAAACTTCGAAAGCTTAGTACCTACTATTGGCATGGGTCTGGTAAATAATCATTTTTATATGTGAAAGTATACTGGGCAAAGATTTCTAGAGCACAATTTGGTAGAAACTACTGATCTGAAAATGAAAAATACCCTTTGATCCAGCAATTCTATTGCTAGGAATTAACCCTATAGATACAATCTCATTATATATACAAATATGTTCATCACAATATGATTTAGTAAAATATTAGAAAATAGGCCGGGTGCGGTGGCTCACTCACGCCTGTAATCCTAGCACTCTGGGAGGCTGAGGTGGGCGGATTGCTCGAGGTCAGGAGTTCGAAACCAGCCTGAGCAAGAGCGAGACCCCCTCTCTACTATAAATAGAAATTAATTGGCCAACTAATATATATAGAAAAAAATTAGCTGGGCATGGTGGCACATGCCTGTAGTCCCAGCTACTTGGGAGGCTGAGGCAGGATTGGTTGAGCCCAAGAGTTTGAGGTTGCTGTGAGCTAGGCTGATGCCACAGCACTCACTCTAGCCTGGGCAACAAAGTGAGACTCTGTCTCAAAAAAAAAAAAAAAAAAAAAAAAGAGGCTGGGCGCGGTGGCTCACGCCTGTAATCCTAGCACTTCGAGGTTGGGAGTTCGAAACCATCCTGAGCGAGACCCCGTCTCTACTAAAAATAGAAAGAAATTAATTGACCAACTAAAATATATAGAAAAAATTAGCCGGGCATGGTGGTGCATGCCTGTAGTCCCAGCTACTTGGGAGGCTGAGGCAGGAGGATCACTTGAGCTCAGGAGTTTGAGGTTGCTGTGAGCTAGGCTGACGCCACGGCACTCACTCTAGCCAGGGCAACAAAAGTGAGACTCTGTCTCAAAAAAAAAAAAAAAAAAGAAACCTAAAAGCCTATCAATATCTGAATATTGATCTGAATATTTATAACACATTCAAACATTAGAATACCAGTCATCAAAAAGAATGAGGTATTTCTATATATAATGATACAGAAGGATCTTATAAAACATGCAGCAGAAAAAAAGGTACAGAAGAATGCATATAATCTGATTCCATTTATGTAAAATTCTTTTAAACTATATATTTCCTGGCAAATAAAAAATGTTTCCTATAAGAACATATACTTGAAGCTGGTTACTTTTGGAAAGAAGCATTAAGGTAGGAGGTAAGGAACAAGTTTTACTTTTATGCCTTTCTGTACCATCTGATCTTTTTTCCATGTACATATATTATCTTTCTTCTCCCCCACTTTTTTTTTCTTTTTTTTTTTTTCTTTCTTACATTCCCATGAAGTAGCTTAGTCCCCCACTTTTTAAGAATACTTGATTAGCAGATTTTGAGATATTTCTAGGTAGACTTGAATACTGGTGGCGTTATTTTTCAAAATACTGTATGTAGTTAAGTACCAAGCTTTGCAAACTAGAACTTCCCCTGGATTTTCATTAAACTTTAGATTTGCCTCCTAATGAGTTAATAATACTGATTTCCTGTTAAGTATAAAGTGACATTTTGTAACGGCAGTTTGGCTCTATAACAAATTTGTGATGAGATGATTAGACACTGCTGAAGAACCAATTCTTACACCCCCAAGGGCATTTGATGATTTATAAATATAAATGAAATTATACATTTTATTTTGACCATAAAAACATAAAATTGCAATAAGATTTTTACATATACAATTATTAATATAAAGCATCCATTGAATTTAGAAAAACAGCATCACAGGGGAAAAAAACACGGTCATAAAATTAGCTCATATTTTTCTGGGGACAGAGAAGTAGAAGAAATGAGGTTAAAAGTCCCCAAAACTAACAAACAAACAAACAAAAAAAAGAAACACTACCAAAAACAGGGTGAGACAATCATTTATTTATTGGACAGAGCAAGGTCATTTAGAGAGGAAACATATCCAAACAATGTGTTTAGCTTGGTGTTACAGGCATCGATGCTCACAACAAACAACACTACTCAATACATCATGGAAACAGGCCACGTACAACCAGGAAGATGCTGTCATGCCATTCAGAAATAAGCCACAATGATTAGGAAACAATCATTAGGGAGTTACAGAGCATAATAGTCTCTAGTTCACTGATCTGCATGTTCTGCAGCTGGGCCATTAGCCCATAGTATTTGCCTGGTTCCTTGGTTAAAAGTGAGTCTTCCTGTATTTGAGAGAGCTCTGATTGGTACACACTTCTAAATGTCACTGAAATCATGTAAACTGCAAGGTTAACTAGCTCAAATCACTATATGTTTTGAACTACCCTAGGCAGTAACGGACTTTCATAGTACTGCAAATAAAATTCTGTACTTAGTACATTTAGCAGTGCTATAATGCACCCAAATCACTTTTAGTCCTATGGTACATACTTCAAAAAGACAGCAGAAATTTGCTGGAGTCAATTAAAAAGAAATTTGTGGAGCTCACCTGGTATACAAGCTGCTAACAAAGGTAGACACACTTGACAACTACTATGTCAATTACCTGCCAAATTATTTGGCATCATTTTTAGCAGGACTTTCTTTTCTGACCAGACAGGCAAAGATTTCAATAACCATTCTAAAGATTGGCCATTTTTGTTTGTTTGTTTTTTAGAGACGGAGTCTTGCTATGTTGCCCAGGCTGGTCTTGAGCTCCTGGCCTTAAGCGACTCTCCTACCTCAACCTTCTAAATAGCTGGGATATAGGTGCAAACCACCACCTCTGGCTTAAGCAAAATATAATATTATGAATGCTTGGCTACAATGAAAAATTATTCAGCATAAGATTAACTGAGAAACCTGTTAGGTATCTGGCTCTCCCTCCTTAAATCTATTGATTTTACCAACCACTCCCTTTCATAGCAATAAGCGTTCTCAAGATGAGAAGAATTTCTCACTCCACACAGAGAACCTATTTGGGAAGCAAGTCACAAAAGACCGGATGTTATAGAATTCTGTTTATATGAAGTGATCACAATAGGCAAACCTACAGAGACAGAAGTAAGATTAGTGGTTGCCAGGGGCTGGAAGGTGGGAGGAAAGAAGAGGTGACTGCTAAGGGGTATGGGGCTTCTTCTTGGGGTAATGTTCTAAAATTGATTGTGGTCATAGTTGCACAACTTTGTGAACATTCTGAAAATCACTGAATTGCACCCTTTAATTGGGTGAATTATAGCTCAATAACATCATCACAAATACCTATTAGGAAAGGAAGACAACCCCAAAAAAGAAAACAAGAGGCTCTTCCAAAATCAAGTCATACCTAAGGAAACGGTATACAAGCCTGATGGAAGGAGCATGTTTTTCACACACTATTTTAATCATCGTCACTTTAACCCCTGATTTCATATTTTTAACTCATTTCTAAATCATTTCAGGTTATCAGCAGATGTCTAACTTTGTTCTCATTAGAGAGCAGAATCAGTGTTCCACAACAGACTGGGTTGGTAAAACAAAACAAAACTAAACAACAATAAAAATCCAATGACAAAATAATCTTGTGCTTTCAGGCTATGTGTTACCAGGCAGAATACAAGAGCTGAGGTTCCTTTCTAATAGGAAAAAAATGCCATCAAGTATAAGGGCATCTTATGACTCTTTTGTGCCTAAAGCACATTTCCTTTTCAAACCTGCATACAATTATTCCCTTTACACCTATACAATTCAACAAAAGCAATGTTCTCTACAAGAAAATGTTCAGCTTCCTGCAGCTTTCTAGCTCAAAGAGCTAGCCACATTTCTCTGAAAGTAAAATTACTGTTTCAAAAAAATTCAACTCTGGATTCTCATCCTCACCTTCACTTCAGCACCATACAGTGAAGATGGAAAACTCTAAGCCTGCTATAAATCAGAAGCTACAAAATAATTTCTTAAATGACCATAATTTTCTAAAAAATTAAATATATCAGTTCCAAATATTTAGAACATATTTGGCCCAATTCCTTGAAGTCTTCCTTTAAATTAATGAAAAGTTTCCTTATTTTCACTGATTCACTAGTTCAGTATGAAATAAACCAAGACTTTGAATAAGTTAAACTGGCTAATGACAAGTAATCAATTTTCCTCAGTGATTACCATTCTTTTACATAGGCAGGATAATGAAATCACAAATGGTCTTTTGGTCTATCTCCAACTACTTTTACACTACATAATCAATTAGGGAAAATTTTTACAGATAAATGAAGAAGCACAGGTAGCTTTACAGCAAGTTGAGCTTGTTAAATATACTTGTTACGACAAAGAATTTTTGACACAAAATTACCCACTGCACACAGAATCTCTGAAGTGATGAAACAAGACAGCTGACGTTAGAAGTTATACAGGAGTGGGGCTGGGTGAGAAGTCATGGATAAATTAAAAGCTGGCAAGTATCTGCCAAAGCAGAGCCACTTTTTAGGGGACACAAGAAAAACCGATAAGTCACCATTTTGGTCTCATTAGAGAAGTCCATATGTTGAGAAGTGAAGACCATTTTGCCATAATTCATGCTGCAAAATGCAGTAGTCACATAGTATTTCCAAAAGGATTCTAAAAACTGTAGTGCAAAAGAAAAGAAATCTAAGAAAATAAATAATCACAAAAACCACCATTTTCCAAGGAAATGTGTTCAAAACAGTGGCTTTTACAAAGGACATAAATTTGTTTTAAATGAAAAAAAATTCTCTATATGAAATACCAAAGACTTATTCCACAGATAACTTATACTGCATTAATGATTTGATTAACAGTGTATAAACAAGGGCCATAGTTGTTTTTTTTTAATTAGGTCTGAAAGATAAGTATAAATACTGATGGGAGTGTTTTATACCCCAAACTCCAATATTCCAGCTCTATATCCTGTCCTGTTATTATAATTTGTAAAAATCTTAACGACGCAGTGATTCGAGTTTTCGTAACTTCAACGATGTGTTAGAGGACAATGCATCTTGGTTTGAAGAATTTGTTGAATCTGAAGGCCGGAACAGTACTCGACCACGATGATTAAATACATAAAAGGATGGGTGATTCCTTAATGTATCAAATGTCCTTAGAAGAAAAAAAGCATCAATTTTAGATAAACCTTTATAAAAGCCCATTTGAAAATAAGCAGGCTTCTAATTATGAATTTGCTATGTTATATTTTTAACAAGTATAAATCTATGAAATCAGACCATAAATGATAAACATACTATATCTTGTTTTTTTTTTCCTATACGAAGAAAATAAGAAATCGGGAAAAGCAGCATAGAGTCCACAAATTTCTTTTTTATTCAGCCATTCCTTCCAGGATGCCTATGAATAACAACACAAATGCTAGCTCAACTTTAATCACCTCTGTAAATTGAATAGTAGCCCATGCCAAAATAGTCTTTTAAAAACCTAGCACATAGATTACACCCTGGATTATTCTCATTTGACCCTCACTATTCAAGCCATATAATCATTTCATAGATCTGTTTTCCAAGAATCTTTCAAGTACAATGAAAAATTCCTTTTGGCTCTCTGTACCTGTTGTTGTCCAAACTCATGTATTTTGCTACCACCTACTTAATATCATTCTGTTTTACTTCTTTCTTTCCTGGCCCCTTGCCAGTGATTCTTCATAGACTCTTTGTAAAAACAGTAGAGATAGTGGAGTATCCCTTCCTCTTTTCCAGTGAGATATATATATAGTTTTAAAAAGTTGAAACACCTCAGTGTATGGCCTCTAGTATTTGTTAGTTTTTAAATATTGTTTTTCTGGAAAGAACAAGAGAACTCTTCCTTTCATAAAAACTCAAATCTCAAAGTCAGCCTACCTAAACATCCAAGCATACTCTCATACAAAACAGGAGGCCCCATATGTGACTATTTAAAATGTAAATATCAAACTAAAAGAGGAAGATGAGTTTCCTCTAACACATAAATGTTATTGTGACTCTTTCTAAGAAAATACTGTACAGGGATATCACTTTAGGATCAAGAAGGTAGGTAAAGTCCAGAGATGGAATGGAACAAAGCTAAAGGGTGATTTTAGGAAAGTAAAAATAAGGAAAAGAAAAGCAAAGAAAGACACATGAAAATAGCTTAGAAAAAGTACAGGATTCAAAGTAAAAGGAAAGCAGAATAACAAATATACTTTGAATCCAGGGGTAGACAAGAGCCCGAGAGCAGAGCATACATCACAGATTAGGCTCCAGTGAAAGAGGAAACAGAAAACCCCTTATTTTTCCAAACACTAAGCTGGGACAAGAGGATAAAAAGAGAGAGGGAGGGAGGAAGAGGGAGGAAGGGAAAGTGGAAAGGGAGAGGGGAAAGAGGAAGTGGAGAGCTAGGTTAAAATTTCTGAGTGATTATCTTTCTATATTATCTATTTCCATCCATCTGTCCATCTATCCAACCAACCAACTAGCAGGTACCATAACATCATACTCTAATGCCAACAATCTGCCATCCGACTTCCATTTTTCCTATCAAATATAACCATTACATAATCAAAATGTAAAAATGAAACCAACTTTTCTGTACCAGAAAACATACATTTTAAATTACACGAACAAAGCAAACCCCTATAACATTTAAGGACTATGAAAAGGGAAAGACTTACTTATTTTTTAGTTCTGAAGTGGCATCCATATCTTTAAACTCCCCTGCAATATGAACTATACCATAACAGGTAACTGCAAAGGCCAGAAGCGTCTGAAGAACTATCTGTGAGTATAAAGATGAAATTACTAAATAACACAGAAATGTTATCATAAACATTTACTACAATCTTCTTTCAACCTCTTTATAGCCTCTATCAGGTAGTCTTCTCAGGGCCACTCGTAGGCCCTCTCAGGGCCTCTCAGGCCACTCACTTAAAATTATATGAACTCAGACACAATAAAATCTTCTATAAATTCTGTGGCTGCAAAAATATTTCTGATGCTTCAATAAATGAACTTAGTGACATGCTCAAATAAGTAAAATCATTGAGCACCGAATGGTACTGAGCCACTCAGAACTCAAATATCAAATACTACCTGCTTCCAAGAGCAATTAAGAATTTTTAAGGTATTATTGTTAGATATCATAGAGTACACAAAGTCCATGTGTACCATGTAAATAAAATAAAAAGGTCACTTTCCCATCACTTAAGAAATAAAACACTCCTAGTACCTTTCAAGTCCCACATGTCCCTCTGATTATATCTTTTACTTTCCATCTCAAAGTTAACCATTGTCCCAAATTGTGTATTAATCCTGCTGTGTATGAATCTCTAAAAAATGTATTACTTTTGCCCATTTTAACTATGTTTAAATGGGCTCAAATGTCTTTTGTCTAGCTTTCCTTGCTCAACATTATGATTGTGAGATCCATCCCTGCTCTAGTATGTAGTTGATTCCATTCTTTTTCATTGTGTCTTGTATTTCATTATTATGAAACTACAATTTATCCAATCCACCTTTGCTGAATATGTGGATTGTTTCCTGTGTGTTACTTTTATAATATCAACCTGAATATTCTTGTTATGTCTCCCAGCACATATGAGTGGAAACACTGTGTAGAGTATGCATATGTTCAACTTTATCAGGTTATCCCAAACTGCTTTCCAAAGAGGTTAAGCAAGCAAAAAGGTTGAATATTTGATATTAAGCAATATGGGATTACAGGCATATTTTCTTATGCTTTTCTGTATTTTTCACATTTTCCAACTTGTAAACAGAAGTTATTTAAAACAGATATAAATGAGCATGTATGTGTGTGTATCCACCCCAAAGCAAAGGTGGTAGGAGATAATAACCACAACAACCAAATCCTGAATTATAGACAACTAAAGTAATAAGTAGCCACAAGCTACTATTCTGTCTAAATTAAAACCTAAATGTCATATGTAATACCGGTTTACATTCCCACAACCAGTATACCAAGAAGACTTAGTTTATACAATGCAATCATAGGCACTTTTAATAAGAATGTAGCTGTCATGAAAATATGTTCAAAATAAATTGTTATTTAAAAAGCTAATTATAGGCCGGGCGCTGTGGCTCACGCCTGTAATCCTAGCTCTTGGGAGGCCGAGGCGGGCGGATTGCTCAAGGTCAGGAGTTCAATACCAGCCTGAGCAAGAGCGAGACCCCGTCTCTACTATAAATAGAAAGAATTAATTGGCCAACTGATATATATATATAAAAAATTAGCGGCATGGTGGCGACATGCCTGTAGTCCCAGCTACTCGGGAGGCTGAGGCCAGGATCTGTGAGCCCAGAGTTGGAGGTGCTGTGAGCTGAGGCTGACGCCACGGCATCACTCTAGCCTGGCAACAAAGTGGGAGACTCTGTCTCAAAAAAAAAAAAAAAAAAAAAAGCTAATTATAAAACTATACCTATATACACATGCATTAACAACTCTTTTAAAGGAAAAAACTGTTTTGTTTTGTTTTGTTTTGTTTTTTGAGACAGAGTCTCGCTTTGTTGCCCAGCTAGAGTGAGTGCCGTGGCGTCAGCTAGCTCACAGCAACCTCAAACTCTGGGCTCACAATCCTGCCTCAGCCTCCCAAGTAGCTGGGACTACAGGCATGTGCCACCATGCCCAGCTAATTTTTTTTATATATATATCAGTTGGCCAATTAATTCTTTCTATTTATAGTAGAGACGGGGTCTCGCCTCTTGCCCTCAGGGGCAGGCTGGTTTTGAACTCCTGACCTTGAGCAATCCGCCCGCCTCGGCCTCCCAAGAGCTAGGATTACAGGCGTGAGCCACAGCGCCCGGCCAAAAAACTGTGTTTTGATTAGATAAAATTCTACATACATAATGTTTCTGCATAGGAAGAAGACTGTTCTGCTATACTCCAAACTGTTAGGAGTAGATATTGAATTGCAAAGGAATAGGGTCAGTTTTTTGTTGTTGTTGTTTAATTGTATATGGCCAGGTTTAATTTTTATATTTACTGTTTGATTCTGTTACACAGAACTTACTACTTTTGTAATTTCAAATCCAGTAAAGATAAATATTGTGAATGAAGCCAGAATATATGTTAATTTATCTTAAAAAACACTTTCCTATTTTTCTTTAGTTTTACCACCATTGTTTAGGGACACACACTATTTATGTGTGTCCCTAAACAATGTATTGTGAGCTTTGCTTTTTAAAAAATTTTACATAAAAAGGAACTTTTCTAAAAATGCCAGGCTGGGTGAGGTGGCTCACAGTTGTAATCCCAGCATTTTGGGAGGCACCAGGATCACTTGTGGCCAGGAGTTTGAAACCAGCCAGGGTAACATAGCAAGACCCCATTTAATTAACCAGGTGTGGTGGTACACACCTATAGTCCTAGTTACTTGGGAGGCTGAGGTGGGAGGATAGCTTGAGCCCAGGAGTTTGAGGTTACAGTGAGCTATGAATACTCCACTGCACTCCAGCCTGGGCAACAGAGCAAGACTCTGTCTCTAAAAAAATAATTAATCTTAAAAAATAAACCTAAATAATCAACTTTTTAAGTCATCCTCATACTATACACAGAGCAACTTGTAGGAAGATTATTTCAACTACAGTTCTAGAAACCAAACAGACAAATCTTTTAAGGCTTTCAAATCCTTTGGTTTTACAACAAGTGATAAAAGGTAGAAAACAGATGCTATTTCATGTCTGGGAAATTTTAAAAGAATAATAACCAGTAAAAAAATTATCATAAGCTATATGGCTAATTTTAAAAACATATTTTAATAGAATATAAATAATCAACTTACATCTATTGGCAGTGATTCATCTTCCTTTTCTGTTAATCGCATATATGAACGATCTATAAACCAGAAGCATACCATTAAGGAAATTATAGCCCATTTTTCTTTCTTAAAATGCAAGCAGATCAATAGACAAAAGAAATGGCTGACATATGCTACATAAAGTAATTCTAATACTGGATTCCTCAAAACCTTCTATCTTCTAAGGCTGTCAGCCTTATCTTAATGAACTATCTTATCTTTATCATGACTTGCTTATAAAATGGGTGACAGATAAGTATGAGGTAGAAATACCTAAACATAATTTTTCTTTCATTACTATAGAAAAACTAGAAACCTCTGAAACAAAATTTTTTTCACTAACTGGTCAAAGAAATCATAATTATTTTAAAATTAGCAAGTCTACAGAAAATCTCAACTCTTGAAATATCACCACCATCACACAGTATAGACAAAATAATTCTGGTATGGAAATGTTTCTCCTGAGAGAATATGCTGGGGCAGTGGTGTAATAGGAATTCCAGGACATCAATTTCTGCCTTTACTATTTAATTATAATTCTGCTGCTACCTTAACCTCAGGAGGCAGCAAGGGATAAAGAGAAAAGGATCAGGATTTGGAAGTTGGTAAGCCTAGATCACAGCACCAGCTTTTTAATTTACTGAAATTTCCTATAATCTCATTTAAGACGTCCTCAGTAATTGTAACATGTATCTCAATTTCAAAGTGTTCAAATGTGGGAGTAGGAGGGGGAGTGTGTCTTAGAATCAAAGAAACAGTATCTGTTTCTTCACTGCCTAAGTTTCCACAACAGTAAAAAGAGAGTAATATAAGGATTAAATGAGACTCAGTACATGATCAATGTGCTGCTTTCTTTACAACAAAGATGAACATGCCATAGCACCATAGTGTGTTATCTGCTGTCACAATGTGACATGACACAATTAGTCTCAAACATAAATAATAGTATCTTCCCAACATGAGCATTATAAAGAGACCTCAATGCAATGGCAAATTCACAAAGCATTCTTATCACTTGAAACATAAAAATACAAAATCTTGGCCAGGCACAGTGGCTCACACCTGTAACCCCAGCACTTTGGGAGATCAAGGCAGGAAGATCACTTGAAACCAGGAGTCTGAGACTATCCTGGGCAACAAAGCGAGACCCTGTCTGTACAAAAAAAAATTTTTTTTGAAAATAGCCAGGAGTGGCATGTGTCTGTGGTCCAGCTACTCAGGAAGCTGAGGTGGGAGGATCACTTGCCACGACGCTAGCCTGGGCAATGGAGTGAGTCAGAGTCAGTCAGTCTCTCTCTCTCTCTCACACACACACACACTGACATCTTAATTCTAGATGAACCTAGGACAATCCCTATTTAATAATGTACTTGGGACTAGAACACTCAAATTGGACTAGAACGTGTACTGACTTTCTTAAAAGAGAATTTGTTTAAACACATTGCTTAAGTTTTAACTTACAAGGTTTGTTATAAGGACAGGTGTAAAAGAAAAATCAAACCAATACCAAAAATAGATTTTGACTAACCTCCTACTGTCTGTTCAATTCTCAAGTAGCTTTCTTGTTTGCATGAAGGCTAATCTGACTCTAACACTACCTTTAACCAGTCATTTCCTCATCTGTAAAAATGAAAGAGTTGGACTTCAGTGATCGCCAAGGGTCCTCCTTACAGCTGAAACTCATTGTAGAAAATGACACAGTACTCCAGTGTATCCCAATCTCCTCCAGGACAGTGCTTCTCAACCAACATGCATACAAATCACCTGGGGATCTCATTAAAACAGATTCTTAGCCATTATATCTGGGGTGGGGCCTGAGTATCTTCTAACAAGCTCCCAGGTGATGCCCATGATGCTGGTCTGTTGCCCACACTTCCAGCAGCAAGGCTAAAGAATACTTTCCTTAACCCCCCAGCTCCCTCACAAAATGACTGTCCCAGCCTCCATGCATCCTTAAATATTTTTAACACAACATCTATATCACCTTATTGTGATTATTTCTTTTTTTATTTCCTAGTGTAAGAGGAAAGAATATTGCAATTATTTCTTGATCCACTTGTTTCTTCACTAGATGTCGAACTCCCTCAGGGCATCAATGTACCTCTAGCTCCTACGCACAGTGCAACTGCAATGACCCCAAACTCAATTTAATAATGCAGTGTAGCACAAATCTTTTCCCAAGGTCACACAGATTTAGCAGTAAAGCAAGTTTTTAACAACTAGCCCTTTGGACTCCCAGTCCAGTTCTCTTTCCCCTTTCCCACAGTGCCTCCAGGAGGCAATCCATTACTTAACTTCTCAATCTCTGCCTGGACAGCCCAGGAGTGCCCAAGATGTTGTCCACATAGTTGTCATGGGACCATGAGGATCTGGAGTCCTCAATCCCATATTCTGCCTGATCCATCCCATGCTGGATCTGACATCACCTGTCCTGGATTCCCGGATAGATTCCACTCTGAACCCTCTTGCAGACACTTCCTTCCAACCTTCCTGCAATCCCAGGTGCCCCACTCTCCTCAAATCCAAACTCCAAACCTTCCACTGGGGACCCCTGCAATGCTTTTCTTAGCCACCCCAAACTGTAAGGTGTCAAACGACGGTTCCTGAGACACTAGGTCCAACAGTCCTTTAGGGGTGCGCCCACACACTGTCCCTGGGGTCCCACATGGGAGCGGTCCGCATTACCCAAGCACTTACGCTGAGCAGCGGAAAAGGCGGCGTGGGCTAGGGCAAAGAGGCCAATGCCCACCAGCCCCTTCCATAGCGACGGCGCCATGATTCCGAAGGAGCTGCAGCCTGACAAAAAAAAAAAAAAAAACGAAGGGCGGCGTAGCTGCTCCTTCCTCCACCCGCGGGTGTCCGCGCGGCGCAGAAAGATGACGTCACCGAAGTCCTAGGCGCGAAGAGCCCCAGCGGTGGAAAAACCAGACTGCCGTGAGAAAGCGGAAACAGGAATGCCGGGAAGAAGGGGAAAGCGACAGGGAAAAAGGTCCTCTAGAGCCTAAGAGCCTGCACGGTGCAGCCTTTCTGGTAGGGGCGGAGCTGAGTGGAGGGCGTAAACAAAGAGGCGAAAGCGGGAGCAATGGGAAGCGAGGAGGAAGGGCGCCAGCAAATGAGCGCGGGCCGTGGGAGAAGGGGGCGGGCCTACGAAGATGATAGGGTGGGGCCGAGGGCGGGGCTGGAGGCGACAGTGAAAGGCCATGGCTGCCGGGTTTAGTTAGACCTAATAGTTGTTGGTTGATTTGGGCTTTCTTTCAAGCTGTGCCATTTGTTTTCTGTAGGCCTTTCCCGTGCTTCAGCCCTCTGGGAACTGGCACTGAGGAAGAAGGCAAGGGTATTAGAGGGAGGAAGCAGATGGAGTGTCGAGGACAACAGTCAGGGACTTGGAGCTCCAAACATTTAGCACGCGGGAGGCGAACAGTAAACCCTTCTCCTTATCTTCAAAAGGTCTTGAAGAAAGATTCGCGCCAAAAGGGGTGTAGCGCGGCGGAAGTGTTTTGTCATGAAGAGAACCAGCTAACGTTAAGGAAGAAATGAAAGAGGGAATAAAAGGATGCTAACGATACAGTCTCAGCTTCTGTCTCTGATCTTGATAAAATATACTCTCCTTTCATCCATTTTTGTCTTCATCCCCTAAAATGTAGATATTCAATAGTGAGGTTCTCCCCTTGACCTCTTTTCACTTTGTTTTCTCCTGGTGAGCTCACCCATTCATTCCCACCGCTTCAACCCCCAGAGACTACAGTGATTCCAAATCGACATCTTTATCTCAAATATTTCTCCTTAGCTCCCGATCTGCGTTTCTGACTACTTGCTGAACATTTATTTCCATGTGAGTGGGCCTGTGGCACTTTAAACTTAATATGGTACAAACGGAATTCAGAATTCATCCTGTTTTTCGAGCTGCACCAGTTCCTCCAGTGCCCCCGGGCTGAGTGGCAGAGTTTTGTAAACTGTGTATCACAAAGTATATGCAAAGTATGATCACCATTCTTTCCCCCTCACCCCATCAGAATTCTACGTTCTAGCTCCATCAGTTTGCTCACCCTCACTTGCTCAAAGATACCTGCTATCCTGACCTCCCCTTTAAAATTTGCAATATTCACATTCCTGATCCTCTTACCCTGCTCTATTTTTTATCACCTTCTAACATACTATATAATTTACCTATTATGTTTGTTGTATTATTATTGTTTACTGTCTCTCTTCTCCCACTGGAATGTAAGCTCTGAGAGAACAGAGATTTCTCTGTGCCTAGAACTTTGTTGACTGTCACATGGTAGGCATTCAATAAATGTTTGTTGAATGAAAAATGAATGAATTATGGAAAAGAAGTGGGAGAGATGTATCCCTATTTGAAAGGCTCTCTACAGAGAGTCCTTTCATTATTTTGAATTGGGTTCAAAAATCCCTGTGGACTTGTATGGACTCTTAATTTTTTTTTTTAAGAGAGTAGAGTAATTGAAAGATGACTCCACAATGTTGATAACTGGAAAACAGAGGGCTATTAGTAGCATTAATTTGGAGACAAGAGGTAGAGCTCAATTATGGCAGCTGGAGGAATATCTAAATACAGACATCCACATAGGCAGTTAGAATTTGGCTCTGCAGTTCAGGAGGAGGACAAGCTACATACACAAGGTTATAGCTATGGGAGCCCATGCATTCTGCAAAGAAGGGAAGGTGGAAAGAGACTCAGTCCTAGGGCAGTACTATAGGAATGCCTATATTCGAGTAGAAGAAGAATAGGTCACAGCTATCAGTTAGAACCCATGCATAAAAGTGCTGCAGTTTTCACAGTTTATTTCCCTGAACAGACCTCCCCAATGTGCTAAAAAGCAAGCAAGATTTCAGTGTCATTAGGAAGGCTATTTGAAATGAATATCATGTTACCTCATACACAAGTAGCCTAAGATACTTATTACAGATGTAGCAATGAAACCTTAAGAGAGATATTAGTACTCTGGAAATGGTCCAGAGAAGAGCAATTAAAATTAATTAAAGGGGAGAAGCATGATGTTTGAGGAAAAATAAAGGATAAGGAACTTCTTCAGTTTGGAAAAATAGCTAGGCAAAGCCAATAACAACAGCGGCATGGAACATTTATGAGTGTACTATGTGTGAGAGAGACTATTCTAAACTTATATGTACCATCTCACTCAATCCTGCAACAACCTTGTCAGGTTAGACACTATTTTACCTCATTTTACAGGTGAGGAATCGGAGGCACAGTGAGGTTAACTAACTTCTCCAATCCCCCAGGGGTAGAAAAGGAAAAGCCAGGATTCAAACCTGGTACAATTGCAGAGCACATCCTTTTAACCACTGTAATATAAACCATCAGCAAACAAATATGAAATAAATCTTAAAGATATGAATCATATACCAACGGTCTTGTTTACTAAGATTCAAAACTCAAGATACCAAGGCACCACTTGACTTTAAGAGGAACACATATTTTTTGTTTGTATTCTTACAATGAGCACACACCACTTTTGTAAAGAAAAAAACAAGAAGCAAGTTTCAATATTGAAAAACTAATTTACCCAGCAGTAGTCAATTTCTGGAATGTGATTACCAGAGAGGTGTACTAAACATAAATATCTTAAAGAAAGGTTCTTACAGATACCTATAATAGTCAGGAACATATTCCTGGGGAAAGTAGATTTTAACTGGATAGGAAAGACAGAGTGTCCAGATACAGGGAGAACCTGCGTGGGAAATGAGACGTGGATGAGTAATACTGGTTAGTGTTGGCTGACATGAACAAAGTCAGTTAACTTGAAGACAATTCTGGAATGGCAGTACTTTCTCTATTCAATGAACTATTCTTGGAAACGTGAGGGAGTCTCACAAATAATCATCTGTAGAACAGTTTAGAGATCATTATCCCGCCTTTAATAACATCCATATCACTTAACCATGGTGCATATGGAAAGTGGCGTTTCTTTGCAAAAATAAAGGCACTTCTTGGTCACTTAGGAATTTATTTATTATTTATTTTTTTTTTTTATTTTTATTTTTTTTTTTGAGAGTACCAGAAACAGTAACTAGGAATTAAATATTCTTTCTCATGAGTTTGGCTTTTGCTCTAAAAGCTCATGAAAACAGTGCTGCCACTAGCTGAACCTTGCACCTTTGGGATTAACTCAAACCTGAGAACCACGTATGAGTGGACCCAAGGTATTTATTTGAATGATACAGTCTTTAGAATGTGCTATGAATACGTGGGCTTCTCTTCAGGTTGGAATCTCCAGAAAAGACAATTAAAATACACTCCATAAACATGATTTAACATTTATACTAGAAAATGCAAACCTAGGGTAGTTTATCTTGCATTCAATATATGAGGGTAAGAGTTACAAGAGAGAGTAGAGAATGGAAGAAGAAATAGAGAAAAAAACTCAATACTTGGACATGGGTCACTTCCCTGAAGACTCAGAAATAAACATTGGTGGATTATACAATACCAGATTCATTACTGGCTTTCTCTTTTTTTTTCTATACTGTCATCTTTTTAAAAGAAAGGAATCATACCTCAGTCCTTTAAGAAAACTCTTAATCATTTTCTGCTTCAGATAATTGATATTAGAAGGAGATAATTAACAGGGCCCCTGAAAAGGCTAATTTTGATTTAAACATTATCCAAGCTAAAACAAAGCTTTAAGATTGTTTTTTGCCAGCTATTTTTCTATCTTGCCACCTCCAGGGGTGGAGAAGGAAGCAGTTTCCTGCCAACGGTACAGAGAGATTACTTCCTGGTTCTTCCTGATGTGCGAAGCTTAAAATAGGACTCATTTCTGTAATTGGGACAATTTTACTGCCTTGAAATTGATCGGGTACTGTGTAAATTTTGCTTACAGGTGAAGAAATTGGAGAAGGCCAGGAGAAAAAATATCACTAAAAGTTATGGAAAGGAAATATGATGACTATTGGATGTCTTTTATATTTTTAGTTTTTTTTCCAGCTTTGAGGAAGCTCAATATATTAAAAAATGTTTATAATCAAAGGGTTATAAAG